TTACCTCCTTTCTCTTTTTCAACTTACTTAGATTCTATCTCCATTTCCAATGACTCTACACTGATCAACTACGCTGATGATATTACCTTTGGCCTTCCTCATCCCAACAACTTGGTTCTCTTTGCTGTCCAGCTTGATAGCTTACAACTTAAGGAGTGATCTTATGCAAATAATCCTTCTATGAACACAGCTAAATATGTTTTACTTTCTCCCCGTGGGGGCAAATCGTACTCTGATTCTCTTGAAATATGCCAGTCGCTGTTTATTAATGCTGCACTCCTCAGTCGGTGAACTTCAGTAAAATACTTGTACGTCATTCTTAACCATTCTGTTTTGGCAAACTCAGAAGGTTTTCGTTTTTGCCCAACGCCTAAGGTGTTTATCCACTCCTTCCCATCTGATACTACAGTTCTTACATGCCCGTATTTTACCTCACTAGATGTATGCCTACTCGGTTATTTTTCCTGGTTTATCACAGAAGGGGATGTATGATATCCAGATCACTCAGACATTTATCCGGTTGCGTAAGCCGTCCAGTCACCCTGAGGCCGTAGCCTAGTTAAACCAATCAAATGATAAAAGCAAGTTGACCATGACAAACTCTTACCCATGATTGGTGTTGTGTCTAACTGTGTAATCTGTTCTCTAGTGTCACCTAGTTTATCGTATGACCATAGTCATTTGACTTGTTCTATCAACGTGTCACTTGCACTATCAAAACCCTTGCTATTACTATTTAGTCGGTGTAGCGTATCCACTGAGTCTGGGCCGGCCCGAACACGCAAATATCCCACTGTGGGTTCCCAATTTTATCGTTAATCCTGGTGCCGGGTAGAGCAGAGTTTTTGATGTGATGCGTATTATTCCGATCGATGAAGCGGCATTTCCGGACAAAGAATGTACCGAAATGCAGATGAGACTAGAAATAAACTCTCAACCTTATCACATATTTTCGTATTTAGATCCTTTGTCAACAAAAACATCGATAAAAAGAACCCTTTGTCATTTAGTTCTTCAAGGCTTGTTTATTTCTCTAACTCTTTGGTTACCATAGTGATTGGTCTAATGTTACAAACGGCCTAATCTGTTCATATAATTCGTTTTACACCATCGATTGGATAACATGATTTACCCTTTGTGTGCCCGATTTGCAGTCTGGGGAAAATGAAACAAGCGCGTGCTTTTGCAGTATTGGCCCTAAATCCAAGTGATCGCAGTGCCTGGCTTCAAGGAGGTGTCGGACCCGGTGGTCGTGTGCAAAACACACTTCTACGGCTTGCCCAGGCCAATGATTGAATCCGAAGCAAATTTGGTTGAATTCCATTGAACTCAGCTCTACCTGTTACTACCATTTTCCATCTGAAGACGTGTACTAGTTAATGCGTGAAAAAAATAATGTGATGCATTTTATTTTAGTCCTTCATAAAGAAAAGTATGTTACATACTGTTAGACTCCAGTGTTGATTACACAATCATGGGCTTTTCAGTCCCCTGTATAACTGGTAGAACGATCAGAAGCCTACCACAATGACAAAAAGATTGTTTATTAAGAAAAATATACATGTATATTTGGAACTCAAATCACAGAGAGCCGATCGCGTTATTGGAAGATTCCCATAATAATATATAGGGATAAAAATGCAACAGACAAGCTTGTTTTCGTTACTTTGTCTTCGGTCACTTACGGTCAGAAAAAATAAACCGGCCTGGCTAAGCACGGAATGGGTTCACTAAGGTAAGTGAAAAGGAACAGCATTGTCTTTCAAGTTCTGCAGGACAACATGGAGGAGTGAGGGGGACCAAGGTCACTTCTGGAATCTTCCGATAACCAGGCGCAATCTATCATGCCATTTTGCGTCTTGTTTTGGGGTACTTCGTAGATGACCTTCAATGTGCATCGTAGTCTAAGCGGTCCTTTGCGCTGGCCCGTTGAAGCGCGGGATGCAAGAAAACATTTGTGGCCCAGCTCGCTGATACCGCGCACCAAATAGACAAAGATGCATTGAAAGTNATCAAGAATTTTAGCAATCTGCGGTCATCAGTCAAGTACCCAAGTACCTCAGTAGCAGAAGCTCGAAATGCGAATCATGAACCAACCATAATGCAGACAGAAGAAATGGTTGCCGCACATCAGTTTCCTTAGTCCAGTCCCAACTTACAGGACGAGCTGAACCATGACCTCAGTTAGGAAGTGATGGCGCAAGATGGCAAGAGAGGTCGCACCTGAATAAAAGGTCATCGCAAGATTCCAGAAATGATCTTGGCCCCCCTCCCTGCTTCATATGCTCCTACAGAACTGGATACGCAGTATAAATACGATGTGCAGATGATCGTGCAGGGAGAATGTGAACTGCAATCTATTGTGAATCTTCTTCGATGTTCGCGACTCACAGAACCAAATAACAACAGTCGAGCAAAGCTCACAAGTCATAAGGGTCGCTGTACTCGGACAATAAGGATACACCCGTCGGTCACTGGATGAGGGTGATTTTCTACGACTACAAATGTAGTTCAAAGCAGCAGTAGAGTGTTGATCGTTTATGAGCTGCCTTTGATGATGATGCGCCTTCAAGAAGCACTGTTTGTGTGGTTTCCAGCATTCAATCGTGACAGGTGTATCCTGGATGATTAGATATGGTGTGGTCGACATGTGGAGGCCACCATAGTGGGCAACTTTGCCGCTCTGCAACCGGTGGAGGAGGATGCGCGGGTGGCAGTAGCACAGCTGACGAAAGCCATCGGTATCAATCCGCCCTATCTTACATAAAAAGCTCGGCCTCAGAAAGTTTTGTGCACGATGGGTGCCCCATCAGCTCAATGAGGAACAGTTCTGGTGAATTGGTGCCCCATTGTACTTGTCAGGTTTGATGGTAGAAGTAACAATGCAGTTTAGGAGATCATCAGTGGTGCTGAGACCTGGATGTACAGTTTCAACCCAGAAAACAAACAACAATGAGCGCTGAGGCGCCGCCTCAGAAATTCTGACGCCAGTGCAGTGTGGGAAATCACATGGTTGCTGTGGTAATGGCCAAAAACGATCATTTGGGTACTCTACCGATCGTACAGCAAATCACAGTCACCAGAGACTGGTACGCCACCTACTGTCTGTCGAAAGTGCTGGAAGCTGTTGCCAGGAGTTGTCCAAGGACTCGAACACGAAGGACCTTGCTGCACCATGATAACTCGTCTGCACACGGTTTCCATGTCGTTTGCGATTTTCGGGTTAGAGAACACATCTAGGAGGTTGGTCACCCACCCTACAGTCCAGACCTGGCTAAGTGTGAATTTTGTGTTCCCAAATTTCAAGCGTATGGTGCGTCGAATCCAATACGAGTCAACAACAACTACAGTAAAGGCCCTCACTGAGTTTGGTTCGCAGACCACTTATTGGCTGGTTTTTATCCCACTTCCCCAGGTGAACTGCCAATAGTGCACCACCCCGGATATTGGTTTTTCGCCCTCTCATTTTGGTGAGAAAACGCCCTCTCCACGAAAAGGTAGTAAGTAGGGTTTCCTCAGCAGAGGCTGTTTGAGACGCTTGCTCGTATAAGGGCATTTTTCAAGGTGTAAGGGAAGGGTGACCAGCCGCATCCTGAGACACCCCAACCATACTGAGGCCATTGGAGGCCTTTCTTTGATTGGTCGTGAAGATAACAGATGCACAATAAAATCAGACGCTGTTAATACACTGAAATCAGTTTTATTTGCACCATTCAAACAGTGTCAATATCTCGTAGTTTATTATTGTTTGCTGCTGCGATCCCCGCCACCTAATGTTGTTTTAGCCTCATGGTTTTTGTGTATGCTCCTGTGTTCATTAAGTGCGCTCCGTCAATTGATGACTCCCATTACAGTGTTATTTCAATGCATGACGCATGAAAGATATTTCCGGCAGTTTGACTGCTGTTGTTCGCCTACATCAATCTGAGTGTCCAGTGGCAGTTTAATCGAGTAAACAGAAAAAAGTAGTAGAACACGAGGAGGCTTGTTAGACGAGCGAAGACTACATTTGAATTGAGATCATCGCTTTATAGCATGATAAAAATGCGGTTTTAATATTTGAGGCAACCTAATTCCGTGAAAAAGTTATCTTCAATTATGTAAGGCACACTCTAGGTTTGTAATGTTTCTGATTTGGTTTCATCTGTTAAAAAACCATGTACTTATCAACATACTTGAAATAAATCTACATTTGAGGTATGGAAATGTTTGGCTACTTAAAAATTGATAGTAGGCTAAATAGAAAAGTTGATTTTAAGATAATCCAAGCTACTAGCCATTGACCTAACAGCCAGTGATACCACCAATCAACATTGCTGCTTATATGGGTTTTGGTTTGATGAAACATGCTAATTAGGCTGTCACTTGTGATTTCTGTTATCCCTTTCGAAAGGTTACTTAGGCTGTTGAAGCAGAGGGTCGCAATACAATAGATCTAAATTGTAGAGTAAAACATTCAACTTTATTTATCCATTTAGGCCTATGTCGGCCCCGGAAACGAGCTTAAACCATACATGATTTCTTATTGGCCATTCCATCACCCAATAGAATGTGCCATTTTCAGATCGATATACCTGCTCTCTACACTTCAAGGACTGGTGGTCTATCTCCGTTTTTCTACTGTTTTGCCTCAGCGTGATTATGCATCAGACTGAATTTTAGCATTTTTGATCACAGACAAGCACGACCAAAGGATCGCCTAACACGACCAGTTAGGCTGGTAGTGATTCTGGAACCCGTGAGAGCACAACTCACCAGTAACACAATAAAGGTTTCCTATGAGTAGGACAAAAGACACGAAACTAAACGGATTACGCATGAGATCCCTCGACGTCAGTTCTTTCCTCCCGAACGTCCATATTGTTAAGAATATTAAATACATGTGTGACCACATGCAAAGCAATAATTGTGAAATCGGAATGCCAGTTAGTGATCTCAAGCAATTGTTATGCTTATGCACAGAACATGCAATTCATATTCAATTCAAAGGCGAGGCTTTCAAATTCAACCGTGCCTGCACTACCATCGGACATTTTTTTGATTTGACAGTGGAAAACTGCGTTCTATTCTCTACATAATTTTTTGAATCAGTTCATTCAATTTACGAGGTCAAATGCCGTCCTACGGCCTGAAATTTTTGACCTCCTTTCATTTTGTTGCACGTGAACACCAGCTTTCATGTTTTGCGCATAGTGTGCGAAATTGTTACAAACGGTTGAGGAAGAAGGGGCAAAGACTGCAAAAAACGTGTTGGTTGGTTGGTTGGAGGATCGCTAATAGACGGCGTTTCATCAGCAGACTAACTGTTCCCGATATTATTTCCAGTAACATCTGTTCACTTCTGGGAAAGTTGAGGAAGTCAAGAGTATGATACATGAAAAAGTGTGCAAAAGCTTTGGACTTATTATGCTCCAGGAAAGATGGTTGCATCCTGAAATAGAGGACGGTGTTGTCCGGCTTGATGAATTTGATATCTTTCGAGGTGATCGGATAGTGAACTTCAATAAAAGAGGTGGTGGATTAGTTACTTTTATCAGCCGTATGTGGTGCAACAGCTCTCATCTTTTGTTTCATTTTAATATCAGAAGAATCATTTTCATTGTCGTTCAGAGTAAACCCCGTTTCTGCGTAAATTTAATCCCATCATGCTAGACAACATTTACGTTACTCCTGACACGCCCACTTCTGACATCCGAATGTTTTCCGACTCTTTCTCGACACAATTCGTGATAGGCTTAGACCAGTCGTTGTGCATTGCGGCTGGTGATTTTAATCTTTTCGATATTTATTAAGAATTTTAGTTTTGGTTAATCATGTGCACTTTCTCACTCGTTTGAAGGCCCAGCTTGACGGCATTTTTGTAAATAACCCAGGTGTATTCTTTATAGAAAAATAAGCCCCTATTAGCACGTGCGACCACTGTACAATTCTTTTTCATCCTATAATCTCTACGGTTAAATGTTTCATCGTCAACAAGCACAGGTAGCATCTCGAACAATACGAAGGAGGAATTGTACCTATGATAACCTATTTTGACTCCAACATATGATCTCTTCAACTGATTTTTCTGTTTTCCCGATACCAATAATTCTTCCAGATGTGAACATCTCACCGGCTACCTTAATTTCTGTTTCGATTTGTGTTGCCCTATCGAGCCCATATATATCAGTGCCGACAGGTTATCATCGTCTCTTCTGGAACGTCTTCGATGTGATAAGGTGAAGGTATATATGAACGACAGGCGCTACGGTGTTAAACGACTATCAATTCTCATCAAAGCAGAGATTCAGCGCCTG